ATTATTTTTATTGTTCTTATTATTCATTTATTCGTTTATTCATTCATTTATTCATTTATTTATTTTACTATTGTTACTATTATTGTACAGTGTCCATTACTGATTCTCTTAGGGAAGAAATGGACAGCGTTGTCGCATAAGCCTTGGCGACTCAATAACTCTTTCTTGTTTTCTTGTAGCGTTACTGGATAAATATGTTCTGTCTGGTGCACTGTTTCAAAACAGTTGTTGCTTATGATATGTGTTATCTGTAAGGCTTGTATTGTAATATACTAGACTGCACACTCTGATGTGGCACTTACATGGCCAAAATTGAGTCAATGGTGCCGTGAAACACCTACTCAATCAATCAAAAAAAACAACCCCAAAAACATTCTGATGCATTTCCGATGTTCTATAAAGCGCAACATTTTACTCAATTTAAGCCTAATGAAGTGGGAGAGAGAGAGAGAGAGAGAGAGAGAGAGAGAGAGAGAGACTACTATACGCTGCCTTAGATTTACAAAAATCCAACTGTCCATTAGGCCGTTTTCGACTCACTAGGTACTAGGACCGTGAGGTCAGAAACCAAATGTTCTACTTGCTCTATCAAAATCGTAAAATTAATCCGAGTTGTTATCTAGATATTCAAAGAACTGCATTCGAAAAACTTCGACATTCTGTGAAGCTCAAAATTGTTTACGTCAAATTTCCCAAAACTAAGTACTGAGCAGATAGAACGTTGTAATTCTAAGGTAGCGTATAGTTAGATGTTTTCCCCTAAATTTGGACGTTATGGTGCGACCTATAGTTGGCCTACTCTGCCTTGAATTGCTCTTTTTACAGTAAAGAGCTCGGATGGTGGGCGAGTGCTCTGGTGTGCTTTCCTCTTTCTTTTTTTATCAAACATCTATCGTCCTTATCTCTCCTTCTTTTTTTTCTATGTTTGTTACTCTCTAATAAAACCACTAGTCTTCGGCACGTATATGACGTAATTGTATTGCAAGTGGTGGCCATGATAGTGCGTGGCCTAGGAGTATAAGTCTGTGATTTGTTGTTACATTAGTGGGTGGTTGGCGGGTGCTCTGGTGTGGTTTGCTTCTTCTTTCCTATCAAACATCTATCGTCCTCATCTATCCTTCTTCTTTTTTATGTTTGTCACTCTCTTGTAACACCTCTAATCTTCTGGCGCTCATTACAACCTTATGCAGTTGTGAGCGCCGTAAAACCACAACTAAAACAAGTTGTTACATTGGCGTCCTCCCCCGGTAGAATCTTTGATTGCCGTTTTGAGTTTTGAGTACTGGGTCTGAAGATACAATCAAAGCCTCCGTCATAAAAATAAGATCAAATACGATATGTTAAAAAATATTTTATTGGCCCTCTATTGGAGGGGGGGAAATGTGACAATGCTCTTCCGTTTGCTTCTGGGACACCAGACACATTCAGTCACATGGCGTTATTTAACATATTCCATTAAACTGTTTCATAACCGTATATGTTGACTGTATGGAGTGTTACAATATATACGGTTCAATCTGACAAACACACACATAAGCTTGACTTTCTTCACCCATCTGTCCACCTAACGCTCGCCTCAGCTTACAAAGGTATATATTTCTAACAGTTGACGCTTACGAGTTCAGGTGTGCAGGTCTTTCAGGCTGGGGTTGCGGATGAAGGGGGGGGGGGGGAGTCACAGTGAGTAGAGCCCAAAGCGTCACAATGTTGGTGTTTGTGTACAGTGACCTTGTTGCCCACGTATGTCGTTGAGCCATGGTGTAGCCGATGATAGACTGTGTTTGTTTGTACGAGGATATGACGTTTCACGTGATAATAAAACATTGCTGATGTTGTTACCTTCCATAGTGTGTAGCCGATGCGGTAATCGTCTTTGGTTATACGAAATGTGACGTTGCACATGATAATAAAGCGTTGCTGTGTGTTCTGGTGTTGTTTGTTACCTTAAAGTCCGTCTCCGCGGCTGGGTCATGCCGTAGCCGATGAGGTCCTTAAACGCACCCTTGAAGTCGTCGTTGAAAAGCGTATAGAGGACGGGATTGAGACTGGAGTTGACGTAGCCTAGCCAGATGATGGCGGCCACCAGGTGCTGGTCCAGGTGGCACGTGACACAGATGCTGCGTGTGACGTACATGACCAGGAAGGGCATCCAGCACACGCAGAAGCAGGCCATGATCAGCAACATTCGCTTGGTGGCGCGCTGTTCTCTCAGCTGGAAGCGTCGTTTCATGCTGGTGGTCATGCCCTTGCGTCGTCGGAGCTTGGAGATGTTGCAGGGAAGAGATCGTCGAGGGATAACCCCGCCCCTTCCTCCAACTCCCCCTGCTCCAAGGATGTCGCGGTCTCTATCAGGGACGGACAGAACGTTAGCGCTTTTGCTACGGTTGGCTAGTGGGGCTAGGAGGAGGTCCATTCTCCCCGGGCTGACCATCCCCATTTCTGAGGCGCTGCGCTGCATGGTCACGTGGTGGCTATTTCTTCTGTCCATCTCCACGGAGAGGAAGTTGGAGGAAGAGTTGTTGATCATCCGCCCGGACACGCCGTCGCCCGGCCCAGCGAGGCTGTTGCTTCTGCGCGTTGTCGTGTGGGGGACACTGGGCACTGCTAGGCAGGAGGGCGGCTGACCGTTGCGGTCCAACAGCGGTACCACGATAGTCACATCGTGGCAGTCCGGCTCTGTGGCACTGTCAATGTAGGACACGTCGTTATTAGGTATTAGTCTTTGCTCTGTTTCGTCTTCCAGCATTGCCTGTTCTGGAGACTTTAGACCTATTTCTTCTCCTGCTCCTCCCCTCCCTCCTTCCCCTCTCCTTCTATTTTCACATACTTTTTCGTACCCTCCCTTGTCTGGAGATTTCTCTCCCTTTTTCGATCCTTCTTCTTCGTCTCCTATCCTTCCTCCTCCTTCCCACACCTCCTCGTACCCCCCAAAAGACGCACGCTCGCCCGAGAAGACAGAAAGCAACGTGGTGGTAGTAAAGTCTCTCCTCACAGTATCTCGCACGTGTTTGTATCGGCCGCGGCCACCTAGCGTACCGTTACGAGCACTTATCGGTGAGTCGTCGTCACATGTACTCACTTTTTTCTTCATCGTTTTGGACTGAGAGTGCAGCACCATGAATATACGAATGTACATAAAGCCCATCAGACAGGCGGGCAGGACGAAGGAACTGGTGGCGGAGTAAATCACGTAACTGCTAGACGTGAACAGAACGCAGTCGTGTTTGTTTATGTCGGGGTTGAAGGTGAAGAAGTGAGGGATCATGTGTTGCCAGCCTATGAAAGGAGCCATCGATACTATAACGGAGAAGATCCAGACGAAGACGATGCAGGCTATAGCTTTTCTCTCCGATCTCTTGTCGTGGTACCAGACAGGGTACACAGTAGCCATATAGCGGTCAAAAGCCACAGTGCACAAACCCCATATAGAGGCCGTGCAGTAGAGGACGTCTATACACAACCACACTGTGCACCATCGCTCTCCGTGCACCCAGTAGCCTAAAAGGTCATGACCTGTGGAGATGGGCATTACGGTCAGCGCCAGAAGTAAGTCGCTGATGGCCAGGTTGCCGATGAGGCAGTTGGACATCGTGCGGAGCGATCCGTAGCGGCAGAGGGCGGTCAGGACCATTATATTCCCCAGGATGGTCCACAGCGTGATGAGAGACATCGTTCCAGCCACCACCAAGAGCACGCCAAACGAGTGGTACCTGGTGGAGCATACAGGGCTCACCAGCGACCACTGGCCGCTCAGGTTCGAACCGCACGTTTGTGGGGTGCTGACGTTCATGCTGTGTCGTCCAGACAGATAGCCGATACCGGTGTCGGCCCTAAAGATGTCGGCAGAGGGAAGGTTTGTGTCTGTCACGTGACCCGTGACGTTTTCATTTGGTCTGTCGTCGTAAGAGTTGTTGGCGATAGCGTATGCGGCGTGCTGGAAGATCATCTCACCTC